CATCACGTATGCTTGCCAGCTTTGATAAAGCATGTGGAAAGATTGGTCTTCTACTAAATCTTACAAAAACGATGTTTATGAAGAACGGATTGGTTTCGCATGCTCCATTCATGCTCAACGGAACGAATATCTCCGAATGCTCCAGTTATATCTATCTAGGTCGGGAAATCAATATTATGAGCGACTTAGCTCCAGAGCTGAACAGAAGGAAACGAACGGCTTGAGGAGCTTTGAAGAGTGTCGAGGATGTAGTGATGATAGCAAAGAACACCCGACTCCGTGCCCACCTTTTCGACTCAACGGTACTTCCCTAACGTATGCGTCAGAAGCTCCGTCGCTGCTTAAGCAGGATGAAAGATCACTCATCGTTATCGAACGCGCAGTTGAAAGAACGATGCTAAGAGTATCCTGCTTCACACAAGTAAGGGATGGGATCGGAAACTCCGACCTGCGTCAACGATCAAAGATCAAAGATGCCGTTCTGTACACCATACAGTCGAAGATAAGGTGGGCCGGACACGTAATGTGTATGAATCACAACCGATAGACAGGAGCCGTTAGTGATTGGATTCCTCGGGATGCCAAACGTACTGCAGGAAGACCACCGACCCGATGGTCAGCGTTTTTCACAAAGAGTCTTGAAGAAAGATATGATGCTCGACGAGTCCCTAGAGCGAGCAGAACCCACTGGGCTACTCTGTACACGACAGGGAAAAAATGGAAGATTTACTGGCGTTCGCTCGAGTCACTCGACGATCAACGGGGCTACAGGTGATACAGGTGACCCTCTTGGATACTTGATTATCCGAATACTTGGATGGTCCATCTTTATGAGTTGTGCGGACCCCAGCACATTTTCCATTCGTTTTTTTTGCATAAATGTTCACGGTGATGGTTTGATTTGAGCATGATGGCGGGTGCGAGTCTCATACCGTGATCTCCAAATCAACTATAGATGCTGTTGCAGCTGCTTGAGTTTGATTACCAACATGTCCACTCAGCGTGTAGGTGGTCTTTCTAGGGATCACTTGCACACTTGTGAAGTCCACTCTGCAGTTCTTTTCATCCGTCCGTCGACTACTCATTTCATTACATGAGCACCCATTGGGGCTTATACTATCCTTCTTCTTCTTCTTCCTTCTTCTTTCTTCTTTCTTCCTCTTTCTTCTTCTTTCTTCTTCTTCCTTCTTCTTCCTTCTCCTTCCTTCTTCTTCCTTCTTCTTTCTTCTTCTTTCTTCTTCTTCCTTCTCCTTCCTTCTTCTTCCTTCTTCTTCCTTCTTCTTCCTTCTTCTTCCTTCTTCTTCCTTCTTCTTCCTTCTTCTTCCTTCTTCTTCCTTCTTCTTTCTTCTTCTTCCTTCTTCTTCCCTCTTCCTTCTTCTTCCTTCTTCTTCCTTCTAATTCCTTCCTCTTCTATGTTGTTCTCTTTACTCATTGCACGCCCAAGGCATAAATAATCCAGTTTGAACTGTTCGTCTTCGCACTACGTTTCATTAACTGACCTTGTTCCTCTTTATGTGTGGTCTGATGTTTTTTTTCCCGATTCGTTGAGCTCATTGATCATCGTCTCTGCTTCATTGGTTTTTTCTTTTTTTTGAGAAGATGACAATGTCTTTGGTGGAACGAACAGTTGATAGGAATATTTCATCAATACTTGTGCCTTTCTCGTCCCAATCGAATGACATCATTAACCAATGCATTGAGGCAGTAAACAGTCTTTTGGATATACTGTGGCCTTGTCGAACACCTCTCTCTGTGGATGTGATGAGAATTGGATAGAAAAACTGTATTTTTGTTCTGCAGTTACTCATTGGTCGACGTGCACTGATAGGTTTGAGTTCATATCGACGCTGTCAAAAGCTATTTCGTAGTCGACAAAAATAAGACTAGGGGCCGATGATTCTCCACACAAAATTCAATGAACTTGTGCACTGTTCATATGTGGTCCACACAGCTTCGTTCCTCTCGAAATTCTGATTTTTCAGTGGGTTGTTCCGCATCCAGTGACTTCGATATGCACTACCATATAACTTAGTGACGAGCTTGTAGAACACACTCAAGAAGCATATCGGACGATAGTTGAGAAGACACCTTCGGTTACGTTTCTTGGGCATAATGACCATGTGCGACGTTCTCCACTGGTCTGGGATTTTTTCTTTTTGAAGGAAGAATGTCACATGGTTTGTGAAATGCACGTATAAATTGTGGCTTCCAGCTCTAAGAAAGTCGGCAGTGACATAATTGAGTCCTGAAGCTACGCCTCTCTTCGTGCTTTCTAACATAACTCGGGCTTCAAACGGAAGAATTCCTGGTGGATCTTCTCCAGCGAGGATTTCGGGGTGCGAGATGGTAGTTGCGGAACGGAAAATATTGATGTGGAACTTCTTCGTTATTAATTCCATACCAGGGCGGAAAGTTTTGGTGGTCCCATCTTCGTTCATCAGAGCTGGTTGCTGAACATTGCACTCGCACAAATCTCGCCGACATTTCTTTAGACTGGTTTTTCCTATGTTGCCTCTAACTCTTAGTTTCTTTTGCCTATATCGATGTGGATCCTGCTTCAAGTGCTTCTGAAGTTGCCATTTATTACTGTTAAGCGTTAAGAATATTGCAGTAGAATCAAGTTTCGGCTTCCTTTTCTTCTCGAGCAAATCCTTTGTGGTAATAAATATGCGATCTGATCATCTTGCATGAGGAACTGAGGCGAATTTGGCACAACTTTTAAGTCCTTCGACATGCATTTCGTAGTCTTCGGTGGTGTCATCCTTAATATGTCAGTCACGTTTGGAGAGGATTTGGTTCAGCATGTTTTCATTATATACAGCTGGACCTTTTCTTCTTGGTCGATGAGTTAAATTCTTTTTCAATTTACAGCTAAATCGAATCTTTGTGCGAAGAAGACGATATCGGGACCCAGTATAGAATGCTTGGTCTTCTGATATGTCAACTAGACACAATCTTCGGTTTGTGACCATATGACCGATCTCAGCATGAATTGTGCAGTTAGGAGACTCCCATGTCCAGCAGTCGCTCTCTTTCTTCTGGAAAAACGAATTTCAACCCACGAAGCATACTGCAGAGAGGAGTCCTGCAAGAGTTTCCGTCTTCGATTTTTTTTCCCTTATCAAAATATTCTGATCTTCTAATCGCTTCGTTGGCCATTCCTTTTTCGCCACTGGAATATACGCCACAACAAATTTACAGTACGCTTTATCAATGCGGGTAACTTCCTACATGTGGTGATAGAACGTCGCTAATTCGTACTCATCAACGGAATCGGTCGATGAGTAGGAATTGATGACCGTGATCTTCTTATGACGTGTTGGTTGAAGACGGAGGGTAGCCATGCGAGGGAAAGAATCCTGTATGCGTCGACGAGGTGGGTAGTAGAAGGGTGGGTAACAAAGTCTACGTCACTGACATTTCGCAGCGGGATCCTATTGCTGCGAATGACAAGGGTCCCGTCGTTTAGTTGGCGTATATAGGTCCTCCTGCGTTTTGTTTCTTGTAGATGAATCACATGAAATTTGATGCGATCTACAGCTCGTGCATAGTAAGGAGCAATCTCCATAGCGTTTCCTATGTGTGTTTGCCAGATCCGGTTCCCGTGACGTTCTGAGTAACCCAAGATCTCATGGCTTCCCATCGGTCGTCTCATCACCTTCCGGCCTCTTAGACGGGTGCACCCATTGCGCGGGGTACGGAGGTTGACCTATTGTTGGTTGAGCAATTTGATCTTCGCTGGAGTCCTGACTTAGCCTTTTACAGGCGTTTTCAAGTCCTCACCACGATATGGATCCCAGCGAAGTATCTCCTCGACACGATTGCTTCGTTCGGTCTTCATACTAGTTGATTCGGACACGATATTAAAGCCGAACTCAAAAATAGAAGTAGGAATGGAAAAATGATCATTCAAGGGCAATATAGAAGCCGAAATCCAAACCCCCTTGGAACTACGCCTAATTTATCACCGCGCTGGGTGTGAATGGCAAACTCGTACGAAATTTTTTTCTCAATTATTAAGTATTAGTATTACATTAATATTAATAAGTTATGGCACACGTATTTTGGTGTTATTTCAAGTTATTCGATGGTTACTGGTTTGTTATACTCTGGAACTGTTGAGTCTTTCGAGTCGTGGAATTGTTGAACAGCTTTTTGTTTCGACCAGATAACTTCCTTTTTTGTTTTCTTCCCTTTTTTTATTCTTTTTTTCGTTTCGGACGCTTTGTTTCGATTTTGTCTTTTTTACTAGTAGTAAGATTAAGATCGATAGAACTAGCTGAGAGTCGGGAGAAGTGAAGGATCCGCATGGTGTGGTAGTGAACGCGTTAGCCCCCGGAAAGAGCAATAGCACGTTCGTTGCCCACAGCAGACACCTGCGGTACGGAGTTTTCCAAATGTCTCAGCATCGTGGTAGTAAAATTTTTCTAAAATGCTGTTTTTTCTTCAATTCACTTATTTATAATAAGAATTCTTTAAGAAGCTACTCATTCCGACTATCACTTGTCTCCTTGCTTTTGTAAATTTGTGGCATTTTCGCTGCTTCTGTGTTTCCTTCAATCGTGAACTTGTACGTGGTTGAACACAGTCTCTGACGAAATTCTCCATTTTGGCCGAGACCTTCGTACTGATTCTGTCTCGTTCAGTGAGCGAACTCATTCTCCGATCGGACAACGGCCGCTGAGCGAGCCGATTCACGAGGCGCAGGCACGACGTTCTTCCTCTCGTTCGAAAGACGACGGCGGCATCCCAGGTAGGTACGACAACGACTATGCCTGTTTAGTTCATGAAGCTCTTTTTCTTTTTCTTTAGACTCATTTCATTTATTTTTTCCTGAAGTCTCATTATTTTCTTCTTTATAGAGTGTGCTTTTCCTTAGTTTATCTCATTTTGTCATTTTACTACATTTCTCGGCAGTTCTTTGATGTTACATCAAAATTTGGATCGGATCAGCTTGTTATTCTTAGACGCTATTTTTTCGCATCGCGAACCTGGAAGAGAGTACTCGATGTTCACCTATTTTACTCTGTATACAGTACACATCGTGGTTCAATTGGCATCAAATATTGGGTAGTCAATGTTCGTTAAAAAGGGCAAAACTCTCAGCGTTCATCAATCCCTCAAGGATGCGCTATGCATTCGACTTTATTAAGCATCACTAAAGGTGATTGAATGCATATCTGGCCCTTACAGTGACTCGAAGTACCCTACCGATGTATCAAGCCAGTGCTGCTATCCTCCCAGACAAGTCTGGTACCAATTTACCGACTCCGAAAGGGTAGAAGGCTTGGTGGGCCATGCGCTCGGGGATTGATTCCACATGTGTGTTGCAGGGTGCCCCCGACCACTGCGCCACACGCTCTGCGAAATATAACTACTATAATGCCTCAGCTTAACTGGGTTCGGTGCCGATTTGGGCTATCAAGATCAATCTCATTGACGGATGATTGCTGATGGCAAAAGATCGATAGAACTAGCTGAGAGGCAGGCGAAACGAAGGACCCGCATGGTGTGGTGGTGAACTCATTACTCCCTGGAAAAGACAACAGCGCTTTCGTTCCCCACCGCAGACACCTGCGGTCCGGAGTTTTGCAAATATCTCAGCATTATAGTAGTTATATTTCGCAAATACCCTGCCGTTTAAAAGAATAGGCAGTAAATAAAAAGGTTAAGATTGTGATTATAACTATAGCCTCAGCTTAACTGTGTGTTCAATGCGATTTTTGCTCCCTAAAAGCAATCCCGTTGGCAGGTGATTGTTGATGGCGTTATTAAAAAGAAAACTTGCTGAGAGAAAGGCGAAACGAAGGAACCGCATGGTGTAGTGGTGAATACGTTAGGCCCAGAAAGGGTAATACTGTGCTCGATCACCACCGCAGACATCTGCGGTCCGTGCTTTTGCAAATAACCCAGCATCATTGAGACAGTTACTTGGATACTTGGATGGTCCGCCTTCACTGGTTGTGCGGACCCCAGCACATTTGCTATTCGTTTCTTTCCGTCGCAGTAGTCGTCCATGGTGGTAGTTTTACTCGAGCGTGGTAGTGCGTGCGAGTCTCATGCCGTGATATGTAAAACAATTGCAGTTGCGAGTACAGCTGATTAACTTTGCTTACGAACGCGTCTGCCCAACGTGTAGATGGCCGTATTAGTGGACGCCTGCATTCTGCTCGACACCATCCCACAGATTTTTCGTCCATCTGTCGTCTGTTCTTTCATCGTTAACCTGCACAGCGTGATGTGGTAGAGTGTTCCCATACAGTAGAATAGGGCCTTTTTCATTGACCAAAGCTGAATGCATACGATGCATCTTTAAGCAAATTTCACCAATTTCGTAGCAACACTTCTGACATGTGGTTATTTTGTCAAGGTTTAGAGTGTTATAATGCATTAATCCGGCTCCATACCAGCATACAACCGCCGTAAACTTTT